CTTACATAACTGTTGCATTAGAATTTTCATTCTCATTGTAAACTTTTTCTAACTGCAAAACATTTGTTTGATATCAAGGAAGCTCACATAAGTACCAGTGATGAGTTTATTCTTAAGGCCTGAAGCTCTGTTGAGTAATTGGCGGATCATTTCAAGAAAAAAATCATATGCAGGGGCATGTCACCTGAAGACCTTAAGCACAAACATGTTGCTTCTCCCAGTTAATGCTTTTCCCAACTTGTTTACTCTTTTGGGGCAGAATTTTAAGACTTTGTTGTGTCAACTACAGTCAATCCGGGGCAATCACATCGAGATTTGATGAATCTCTCTAAGAGTTTGAAGACACCAGAGCATAGTGAATGCCATGTCTTTTGTAAAATCCTCTTGAGACGATTTCTCCTTATCAACCATGTAGCTTGGGGCATTTTAGAAGTGAAGTTATTTGCAAGAATTATCGTGCATCACGCAGCTTATCAGCAGTAAATTTGGGGCATCCAAAATTAATCCCAGGGGCAATCCAGATTTGTCAAAATATGTTTTTCATACATTATCAGAGGGTGGTGTTCCCAGTATCTCCAGCTAAGCAAGACTTCTTTCCAGCTGAAACTTTGTTTATGTTGTTATCCTTTCAATGGATTGTTTGCAATAGAAGACTGGACTTTGGGTTTTCTACCTGAAAATATCTTCCTCTCCAGAGATATTTAAGCCTTGTAAAAGGACCTTGCTCCAATGATGGCCTGTGTTTTATCTCCAGTAATGCTCCCATCCTGTTGAGATTAGCCGAGTGTTGGGTTGTGCTATGACGTCTTATCATCTTCAGTCTATCTCCCCTGTCTGTTTTGTCAGCATATACATAACATTCATTTATTTATTCACACTTGCATCATGCATGCACAGTTGTATTTGTTGATGTCATTGAGTTCGTACACCTTGGTTATGTCTATTCAAATAGCGTATTTGATCTTTCCAAATAGAGTGCCAACTTAAGCAGAAAGTGCGTCTTCTTTCTAATTCCCCACTGAGTTAACTCTCGTGGAAGAATCTTGCTTTAGCTTTCCTTTTCCATCTCTGGATAGGATAAATCCCCATTTGAGTTGTTTCCTCATTGGGTGGAGTCTTGTTTGACTGTTTTTCTCTCCAGGTTATTCCTGGATTAAGCTTTGTCTCTTGTGAACGATACCCTGTGAATATCTCTAGGCTGTGAAACCTAGATGGAGAGTGCATTTATTTTGCAATGTAAATACTTGGTCTCCTCAAGAAGGATTTATTCATGGTTCCCCATTGAAGATGAACTTTATTCCCCAGCAGTGTTATCACAAACTTCTTCTGGAATATCGACATGACAACAAGCGACTGACTCTTTATTTGAGCAGTTTGATTATTTCTGATTTCTCTACGACAAATGGCGGTCTCTTCATGAGCAGTTTGTCCATCCCCGATGAAATTATTGATTCTCACCTCCAGCAATATCTTCATGATATTTTATGGGTATCTTTGAGAAAACAACAAGTGGCAGCTTCTTTATGAGCAGCTTGTGGGTTTTGGTAACAAGTGGCGGACTCTTCATGAGCAGCTTGTGTGCTTTAATATTCTTTGAAGACAGCAAGTGGCGGTCTCTTCATGAGCAACTTGTATGTTATTGATACCTTGGAAAAAACAGCAATCGGCAGTCTTTTCATGAGGCAACTTGTGTGTTGTGGATACTCTTGACAAACAGCAAGCGGCAGTCTCTTCATGGACAACTTGTATGTTATCAACACTTTCAAAAACAGCAAGCGGCAGTCTCTTCATGGACAACTTGTATGTTATCAACACTTTCAAAAACAGCAAGCGGCGGTCTCTTCATGAGCAACTTGTATGTTATTATCACCTTTGAAAACAACAAGCGGCAGTCTCTTCATGGACAACTTGTATATTATCAACACTTTTTGAAAACGGCAAGTGGCAACTTCTTCATGAGCAGCTTGTACGTTAATATTTTTGAAGACAACAAGTGGCAGCTTATCTATTTGAGCAACTTGTGCGTTATTGTTCCCTTGAAAACGGCAAGTGGCAGCTTCTTTATGAGCAGCTTGTGGGTTATTGGCAACAAGTGGCAGACTCTTCATGAGCAGCTTGTGCGCTTTGATATTCTTTGAAAATGGCAAGTGGCAGCTTCTTTATGAGCAGCTTGTGGGTTTTTGGCAACAAGTGGCAGACTCTTCATGAGCAGCTTGTGTGCTTTAATATTCTTTGAAGACAGCAAGTGGCGGTCTCTTCATGAGCAGCTTGTATGTTATTGACACCTTGGAAAGGAAACAAGTGACAGTTCTTCATGAGCAGCTTGTGTATTTTAATATTCTTTGAAGACAGCAAGCGGCAGCTTCTTTATTTAAGCAGCTTGTGTGTCATAGCACTTTTTTTGAAGACAGCAAGTGACAGCTTCTTTATTTGAGCAGCTTGTGTATCCCCAACAATAATGTCTACTCAGCAATTGGCATCCCTTTCGGAAAAGTCTCGTGGGGAAGTTTGTTATTTTAACCTTTTCAAGCGATATCTTGGTTAGAGGAGAAATGTGTTACCGTTCTTGGTAAAATTCATAAATCAGAGATGTTTATCTCCAGCCACAGTGCTGATGTCAATCATTTTCCAGTCTCAGTGCTGATGTCCATCATTTTGTTTTCCAGTCACAGTACTGATGTCAATCATATGCTTTTCCAGTCACAGTACTGATGTAAATCATTACCTTTTCCAGTCTCAATGCTGATGTAAATCATTCAAGAGTCTCTCATTTGAAGTCTATGACTTTGTTTCCCCAGTGGTGTTATAATTTGTTCCCCTGTAGGATTACTATAATATGCTTGGTTTCTCCAGCATAGTCTGTCTCATATGGCGTCATTCCCCATAAAATTCAGAGCATTACATATCATGAACATAATCGCGGTATCTTAAGGCCAAAAATTGTGTATTCTATATTTAAGTCCCTTCAATCTCGTCGAAATGAAGATCCCAATCTTCATATCTCCAGATAGAAGAAACTTAAATAGGGGCAGCTGTTGTACCCCAATTTTTGACCTAAGATCCCACTTGCATTTTTGCATTTCTTATACAAAAGTCAAGGTCACTAAATACGGCCGGTTTTAACCTCTCACCTTCGAGCGTTGACTATGCAAAGATTGTCAAGTGTTTTGAACATTTTTAGCCTATGCATCACTAATTTCTAATCGCATACAAATGTGTATGTTCATGTTTTCTTTTGTTTCATGTGCAGAGACAGGTCTGAATTAAGAGCATCAGGTGTCGCGCCTCAATTAATGTTTTGAGTCTCCCAAGCCAGAAGTACGGTTGATTGTGGATTCTCGAAGACTGATTCATCAAGGCACACCGTTGCACCCTTAATTTCGCCCCTAATTTTCAGTCGCACATTCATACCATATTTTGTCATTTGGTCACGATCATTAGTAAATATCTTCATTCATCACATTTTGCATCATTAGTCATATTTAAGTTGACCAGAAAAAAGTCAGTTTAAATCAAAGTTTGCATCGTCTTTCAGTTGTAAAATACCCGACATTTCACTTCATTCATTTTTATCTGTTTACTATTTTTCTCGCACTGCTCCAAGTTGTTTATATGTCGATAATAAAAATGTTTTGATTTTATAGACAGACTATTAAAAGCGATTTGACACTACGCGGGAAAGTAGCGAGAAAATATTTCAAGTTTTCACCTTTTACCGATCATTTTATGAATCTGCGCTTCGCGTAGATTATGACGGTATGCTCGCTTTATTTTTCGGTACAGTTCGAAGTCTCGTTTTAACTTTAAACGTCTGTTTAGTCTGATATTTTTATTATTATTTTATTTTTGATTTTTGACTTCTTGAATATTTTTTCTTTAATCTTTGTGACATGTAGATTATTTTAATGTGTTCATTTTATTTTTTCGGATAAATTTTCGTCCTTTTTTTATCATTTTTCGGTCATCTTGGGTCTTTATTTTTTATTCATAAAAATTCAAAAAAATATATTTTAAATTGCATTAATTTGTACACTTTCAGGTTTTTAAGTCATTTTTATTTTTAGAGGGATTTTTAATCATTAATTTTTTTGTTAAACTATTCTTTTTTCTAATTGGTTGATAGAAGTTGTGCAGGATTAATGAAAATAATGGACGGATATGATTGCAAGCTGAAATCATTTTTCCTCTTCATCTGACTACTTTAATAGTCTCTTTTTTCTTTGTGGAATACAACAAAAAAAAAATACAACAAAACCAGCATCTTTCTCTAACCATACTTCATATCACTTTCCCCACTACCACACTCCATTTTGATTCGTCTCAACTACCGCGAGAAGAGTTTCAGAGAACAGAAAACACAACCCTTCTTTGCTATTCCACTAAACCACCACAACTCAGTCTCTTACCAGCACCCTTATCTCATTTCCGAAACCACTCCTGACCACCATCACCGAAAACACGCCAATACCTTTCCCCTCCAGCAACGACTACCTATGCCTCATTAAACAAAACCGAAACTCCGTTGTTAAACACCAGTACGCCACCATCAACAACCTAAAACCTCCACCGAAACTCACTTAACCGACCACCATAACTCACCCTCTTACCACCTTTAAACAACCTTTGTGAGACACCACTGATGCCTCCTCTCCACCTCACAACCATTCCCTCTCTCCACTACCATTCACAAAAATACACACAATAAAAACAACCAACACCATTAAGCACCAAGATGCTGTAATTGCAGTAGTTTCATGTCCAATAAAGAATATGGTTTTGCAGTTATCTATAATGAACCTGTCTCGCGAAATTGAGTTTGATAAAAATCCATCACTTCCCTCATTATTCTTTGCACCCTGGAGTATCATTTGCAAGAGATCTTGCTCACGACATTCCTCTTGACGTTGTTTTACGAGCTTTGATATATTCTAGTTGATCTCTTTCTCTAATCTCCATATCTGTCTATTGCTCTGGTTTGGAAAATATCTAAAACAAATTATATGATAACATTTTTTCTACGGCTATTGTTCAGTCCGCAACTACTGGTCGTTCTGCGGCTATTGTTCATGCCGCTGGTTCCTCATGTTGCTCCGCCTCCTCCTCCTCTCATGAGCAGCAGTGGTGGTACCGGCTCAAACTATTCAGGTGGTGAACTGCTTCCACCTCCATCTCCAGGCCTTGCATTTAGTACTGTAAAGAGTACGTTTACATACGAGGAGTTGGCACGTGCAACGGATGGCTTCTCTGATGCTAACCTCCTTGGACAAGGTGGATTTGGATATGTTCATAGAGTTATTCTCCCTAATGGCAAAGAGGTTGCTGTTAAGCAGCTAAAAGCTGGAAGTGGACAAGGAGAACGCGAATTTCAAGCTGAAGTTGAGATTATTAGCCGTGCTCACCATAAACATCTTGTTTCTCTTGTTGGATACTGCAGCACTGGGTTTCAGAGGTTACTTGTTTATGAGTTTGTTCCAAACAATGCATTGGAATTCCATTTACATGGAAATGGACGACCAACTATGGATTGGTCAACAAGACTGCGAATTGCTTTAGGAGCTGCAAAAGGAATTGCTTATCTTCATGAAGATTTTCATCCTAAGATCATTCATCGTGATATTAAAGCGTCTAACCTCCTTCACGCGAGCTTCTTTTCCGCCAGCTATCACCCTCCGTTTCCGCGTAAGTTTCTGCACATACCACTCAATCATGTAGTGGCTCTGTTTCTTTTATTCTTTTTAATTTAGTTATCATTTTTGTATATTCACTCTTTTAATTTAGTTTTCTTGTTTTTTTTTATATATTCAAAAGTTTATCCAAAAATAAATAAAAAGTTAAGACATTAGATTTTAAATTTAGAAGTAATAATGTTTATCTTTTGTTTTTTTAGATTACTTTAGTACATTATGTAATGTGTAATTAATTTGTTGGTTTGTAAATAAATTCAATTTGTGATTTAATTTTCTTATTGTTTTATTTAATAGAAACTTTTGAGTTTTAGATTTAGTTAGAATTTTATCTTGTAAATAAATTTAAGTTGTGTTGTCTATTTTATATCATTTCATTGTGATTTCACATTTTGAACTCGATTTAATTTTTGAATATATAACGGATGTACAAACTTCATTGACCAGTTTATTTTATGGATTTCGATTTGACGCATTTCGGTCCCATAGCTTGATTCTTTATTTCACATGAGATGTTCATATTATTTCTCTGTTACCCTGTTTATCTGGTTATTGGAGTTTTTCATGTGATGTAGGGAATCTTATACCGTGAGCGTCATCCACGATTTCTTTTTTTTTTCCGTGATTTATTTTCACGCGTTGCACTTCTCGCTTGTGGTTCATTACGCTTTATTCGCTGCTGGGAGTATTATCTTACATCTGGTTTTTTGACGCTGTCGGCTCGTGATTTATTTTCACCTGAGGTTTGATATACTCTTAGCTTATTTATCTGTCTGTGGTTTTAATTCCAAGGGAAATGTTTCAACTCAGCTGACTTCATGTCATCAAATACGTCTTCTACAATCGTGCGAATACCCTCATTCATTTTTTTGCTTGTTTACTATTTTTTCCAAACTTAAGATAATTTTCCCAAAAGACTCCAGTTTTAAACTCATACATTTTAAGCCAAAACTTCGACACTAGGTCATCGTGTCTTCAAAAATCTCGTCCATACCCTATTTTTAGCCAAACGAACCATTTTAATCAAACAAACAATTTTAACCAAAAACAGATATTTCAAAAGGTTCCTGCAGAGTACCGCAGATGCATTGGGTGCTAATACCTTTCCACTGCATAACCAACCCCCGAACTCTAGATCTCTTTTCAAAAATGCATTGCATTTTCGTTACTTTTAAGTATTATTTTACATTGCATATTTAAGGGTTTTATTTCGCTCTTTTCCCTCTTCCCTTGGAAATAATAAAGCGCGGTGGCGACTCTTGCTTTTGCGAGTCAAGTTAATTAATAACTTGATCTCCGATTTTCACCGCTACAGAATTGGCGACTCTGCTGGGGACAGATTGACCTCTTGCTGGTCCATCCCTAAGTGGGTTAAGCCTAATTTGTTTTATTTGTTTTATCGTTATTTGATTGTTTGATTATATGTATATATTATGATTATTTGGGTGTTGATAATATTTACAAAGGACAAGTCCTATACCCGGACTAAGTTACACTTAGGAATAGGACGGGCGGTATATTCATGTTAACTTTGAGGGAGTAATCCCGAAGAAGGAGGCATGAGATCCCCCACTCAGTGGAAGGCCCTTTTGAACGTAATATTTGTTTACCGAGTAATCGGGAAGGCATTATTATTTTCGACCTGGGAGCCAGAGAAGCTGGGAACCGTAGAACCCTAACCCATCTTGGCCTTTTAGGTGTAGCGCGGAGATTATAACGGAGTAATCCGAAAGTAATTGTTACGCGATGCTACGCTCGGATGAGTTTCTCTTGAGAATATTGCTGATTATTGAGTAATCAAGACGTTGGTAATATCTGAAGGAGGAATGTAGACTCCGGGAACTCTTAGAACCTTGTTCTACAGGTGTGATTAAACCGTTAGTACATACCTTGGGGGTGTGCCTTACCTTGACTCCATGCTCGTGACGTTGAACCTTTCGACTTTGTTTGTGACCTTGCTTGTGGTTGTTGCATAGCCATGCATTCATGCATCCATAAAACCCTTTTCACTTGACTTTGAAGGAATTTGGAGGTCTTTCTTTGTAAACATCACAAGTTTCGTCAAGCTCAATGGATCTTGGGTGTTGATAGGGCGAAAACCCTAATCCACCAAAATGGATGATTGATCTTGATGATAACTTGATCAATGTTTGGAGCCAATTTAAAATTCATCTTCTATCTTCATACTTTGATGTTTACAACTTAATATCTTGAGTTCCTTGAAAATCAAATAAAAACTCTCTTTTGCATATCATACATCATTCTACATTTTTTGTTTCACTTTCAAAGGTCTTTTTCCGAGTCTTATTTTTCCTTTGGTCTCACCAGTACAACACTCACGCTAAGAGAACAATGGAGAATATCAAGCAAGAGGTTTCTGAACTCCGTAGAGAGATGACTATTTTGAAAGCTAGTATGGAGCACTTAACTGGTTTGGTTGAAATTCTGGTTGCCGCCTGAGTCAATCCTTCTAAGAAAGAAGAAGTGATGGAAAAGGTCTTCACTGAAACTCTAAAATCATTCTCTCATGAGAAGGTGATGGTTAATGCACCTAATGACTTTCCTGACAAGGTGAATGTGGGAGTGCGTCTAGAAGAAGATGTTGGGAAGGGATGTTCATATGAAGATGGTAGCTCAGCTAATGGTGTGAAGAAGTTTGATAATAACTTTTCCAAGAAGAGAACCATAGGAAGAAATCTTCATCGTCAAAATCATCATGTTTCTCCTATTCATCAACAGAATCAGCAAGTTCCTAATCAGAGGAAAACCCAGTTTGATCCAATTCCAATTACCTATACAGAGTTGTTCCCTATCCTGATGCAGGGGAATTTGGTTCAGACCCGACCAACCACCGAAGGTTCCTGAGAAGATACATTGGTACTACAAAGCTGATTTGACATGTACCTTTCATCAAGGTGCTCCTGGGCATGACTTGGAGGGTTGCTTTGCTTTGAAGATCGAGGTTCAGAAGTTGGTCAGAAGTGGTATCTTGTCATTCAAGGACGCTGGTTTTGAAGTTCAAATCAAGCACGTGCCGAAGAGTAAACACGATTGATGGTCACTTTGAGTTTTGAAGGATGTTTTCGGTAATTCAAGTCCAGATGGAAAGCCTTCCTAGATTATTAACTTATTCATGCTTTTTGTAATTTTTCTTGTTTATCAAAACATTGTTTGCATGTAAGAGCTTGTTTGCATCTGAATGATTATCTTAATACAATGGGTATGTTTGTCTTGAAGAAATTCATTCGTTTCACTCATATTTGTTTTCAAATTTTAAATTTCTTTTTGCATTATGATACCAACTTGTTGCCCATTCTCTTGCCTAGGCAGAGATTGAAGGGAGGATGATGATCTAAAGAACACAAAATCTCTGATTGTTTGCTTTTGGATAAAATCTTGCTGATGATGTACAGGCATTGTTTCTAATCCCTAAACACCGGAGATATAAGGAAGATAATCCCTTGCTAACCCCTTTTGAGCCTTGAAGTAGAAGTTTCTTTTCTATACGAAAAAACCCTCAAATTTTAACCCGGGGCAGGGTAGTTTTCAGTTAATCTGACTGAGTGTTCAAAATTCATAAGGAAGATGTTTTTTGAAGAGAAATTACGAGGGATATCCTTCATGTATAATGAATCTAGAGGATGTGGAACCACAATGTTATCCCTCATTCATCAAGAAACGAGGCAATCACAATCCTCTCAACAAGCAAAGACAAGCTAATGTCACACATTTTGTTCAAAAAGTCAAAAATCGAGAAAGAGAAAAAGCTTGCTAAGTCAAAAAACATGAAAACGTGTGACTTAGGAAAAATTAAGGCATCCCGCTGGACTATCAATTCAAAAGAATTAGTTCAGGCAAAAGTTAGGGAAAATAAAAATTGCAAAGAAAAGGACTGCAAAGAAAAGTCCTCAGCAAAGAACAAATTGGTGACTACAAACACGAAGACATGAGGGTGGTTTCTACTCCGAAAGCCTTGTTGTTTCCTTGACCATCACAAAATCCTTTTGAGAGATGAACGCTCATGTTGAATTAACTGAACATAGGATTTGAGAATATCATGAAGGGGGTGGGCACCAAATATTTTGAGCCTTAAAATCTTTTTTCTAAAAAACCATGAACCAGGCCACGTTACAACCTTTAAAAGTCCTAATTGAAGCAAGGTTATTTTGAAAGCATACTTCAATGAGATAGTGTTCCTGACTCCCATGAATGTTCTAAATAATTATGTTGGTATCATATGTTTTTCCCACACAAAAATAAATGATGCTCTAACTCGCAAAATTTGTGCGATATCTTTTCAAAATCTTTAAGACTTACATAATTGTTGCATTAGAATTTTCATTCTCATTGTAAACTTTTTCTAACTGCAAAACATTTGTTTGATATCAAGGAAGCTCACATAAGTACCAGTGATGAGTTTATTCTTAAGGCCTGAAGCTCTGTTGAGTAATTGGCGGATCATTTCAAGAAAAAAATCATATGCAGGGGCATGTCACCTGAAGACCTTAAGAACAGACATGTTGCTTCTCCCAGTTAATGCTTTTCCCAACTTGTTTACTCTTTTGGGGCAGAATTTTAAGACTTTGTTGTGCCAACTACAGTCAATCCGGGGCAATCACATCGAGATTTGATGAATCTCTCTAAGAGTTTGAAGACACCAGAGCATAGTGAATGCCATGTCTTTTGTAAAATCCTCTTGAGACGATTTCTCCTTATCAACCATGTAGCTTGGGGAATTTTAGAAGTGAAGTTATTTGCAAGAATTATCGTGCATCACGCAGCTTATCAGCAGTAAATTTGGGGCATCCAAAATTAATCCCAGGGGCAATCCAGATTTGTCAAAATATGTTTTTCATACATTATCAGAGGGTGGTGTTCCCAGTATCTCCAGCTAAGCAAGACTTCTTTCCAGCTGAAACTTTGTTTGTGTTGTTATCCTTTCAATGGATTGTTTGCAATAGAAGACTGGACTTTGGGTTTTCTACCTGAAAATATCTTCCTCTCCAGAGATATTTAAGCCTTGTAAAAGGACCTTGCTCCAATGATGGCCTGTGTTTTAT